AACTTCAAGATAGTTTCTTAAACTTTAAGTGAGAACCGAATGGAAATGTCTGAATTTACACAAAAAGTTGAAGTAAGGCATTTTCCAACCCAGAGACCGAATTAAGTACAGGGTCGACCTGATCCACACTATGGCCCAATTCTTCACGGCCGACGCGGTGCGCAACCACGGCTTTGCTGGGCTCGCAGCATGCTGCGTGCACGAATATATAGTTTGCTGGGATATCCTGAGCTAGTAACGTTTGACGCTATCGGATTGACCTACCCAGCAGTGAAGCATACGCCATCTCGTGTCACACAATCATTCAATATTTGGTAAACATCCATCTCAGGTGCACGCCTAGTATACAGGTCTAACCGAAGCCTCACACTACTTCAATGTTGCGTTTAAAGTTCAGATTACTGTCCAACCAAAAGCCAAGATATTTGTAGGTATCGACAAACTCAACAGAGACGCCATCAAGGGTGTCAATGGAGAGGCAAGAGGACGCTGACTTGGGAGCAAAAAGCATTGCTTTGGTTTTCTTACTGTTCAATAGCAGTTTAGAATCAAGAAGTGCATGCTGCAGCGTGATAAAATCAGATTTTAAATTGGTAACAACCATAGGCTATCCAGAGAAGGAGCACATGAGTATACAGTAGTGTCATCAGCATTGATAGGTAGAAAATTGCATCTGATTACAAATATTGTTTACATATAATAAAAAGAGCAAAGGCCCCAAAATAGAGCCCTGTGGAACTCCCTTCTCCAAGGTGACTGGCTCAGAGACAGTACTACCCAACCTGACGCATTGAGTACGGTCTAAACATTAGCCACATAGATTTTTCACGAATGAACAACACAAAATGTTGTCTTATTAGAAGATTATCACTATATATGCAGTAGTGAAGTAATTATTTATTTATCATTAATCATTAATAAAGCCAAAACCTCTTATTGATGCCTTATTAGAACATGGTTCCAAAAGTAAAATTTTGCACATAGGAAATTGTAAATTGCATGCTGCAGTTGGATTGTTTTCAACCCTTTAGAAGCCATTAATCTCAGCCATTTTCAAACTATTTATTTGTATCATCATCAATCAAATAAAACATAAAATAATGTTGTCTCTCTCAAGAGCATAAATGTTTTGTAGCAAAACAAACCGAGTAATCTAAGCATGCTGCATGTTCCTCGCAGGCAAAATGTGAATTTATTTGTCTCATTCTGAGCTGCTGGTGACTAATAAATGGGTGTTTTGTCACAGGTATGGTTTCAGAACCGCAGAGCCAAGTGGAGGAAGAGGGAGAAATGCTGGGGCCGCAGCACTGTGATGGCAGAGTACGGGCTGTATGGAGCCATGGTGAGGCACTCCATCCCCCTGCCAGAGTCCATCCTCAAGTCTGCCAAGGACGGCATCATGGAGTCCTGTGCCCCCTGGCTGCTGGGTGAGGCTGATGTCTGACTGTCCCTTCATATAGTCATAATCAATATCTCATTGTTTCCAGTTCATGGTTATTTTATGTTATGAAGAGTATATATTTCCACATTATGCAAAAGTAACAGAATTTTCTATGTGGATTGTTTGGAATTAACCACGGATTGACGGGCTGTGTGCAGGCACTGATAGATGCTCTATTAAACTAAGCCTGACACATTTAAGCAAATAAACTCCATACACATAGAGAACATGGAACAGATTTTGCATTACATAAAACATGATCATCCACAACGCCGGTCATGAACTGGCACCGTGCGTTCACACATTATATTCTAAACCACAACTATTTGTGCTTGCTATTTCCAGTCCAAGATGGCTTACCATTCAGCAGACGCTATTCTAAATCTGAATACCCGCAACTCTTTGCAGGGATGCACAAAAAGTCAGCGGACGGAGCGCCCCCCCCGGCGACAGGACCGTGCGATGCGCCCCAGCAGCAGCAGACGAGCTCTCAGAGGCCGGAAGAAGCTGAGGAGGAGGAGAAGAGGTCAGAGGGCAAGGCCACCATTTCTAAAGAGGAACTGAGAGAGAACAGCATAGCTGCACTCAGGGCCAAGGCACAGGAGCACAGTGCCAAAGTGCTGGAGACGGTTTCTCATGACAGACTGCTGGAGGGCAAACAGGAGAGACAGGCGGCCGAGGAGAAAGCTGTTGATCCTCCGAGCCCAGCAGAGGAGGAGAAAAGTCCGTAGAGATTTTCCTGTGGACTGGTTTTCTCCTGAGTGAATGCAGTGAGCTGGCTGCACTTACCCAGCACTGTCCTGCAGGTTTCCATCCCTCATTGACTTCTTTTAAACCCGCCTGCATCTGGACTTCTTCAAGAAGGTATCTCGTCTGGCCATCACTGCTGCACACAAGATGCAAAAAGCACTTTTTCTGATTTACTTCCAGACCTACTGTTGTTTTTGCTTATGCAGAGTAGATGAGATCTGTCAGAAGGAGTAAAGTGTTAATACTGGTGTATATATATCCCACAGTTATATATAGAGCCAAATGTTATCCAGTACAACTGTTATATTATACAAGGACTACCGAGGACTCATGAGCAGTAAAGTGCATTTTATTCTCGGCATTCAGTTTATTGTTGCTTGTACAGTTACTAAATGGTGATATTTGAAAGAAGATCCACCCCACCGACAGAAAAGTAATTGTGGTCCTATATCGCGCTGTATATACTTGATATATTAATCTCTCTTACTAAGGCACAATTTGACATGTGTTTTTCTTGTAGTCTTTTAAAATGTTTGTGTTTTCATTTCAAAAATATGTATAACTCAAAACACTAAGCATAAAATAGAAAATAGCCTTTTATTAAATGTCTTTTTGGTGTCTATTTATTCTGTTTTCCTTTGAAACACGTGGTCAGCTGTCCAGACATTACAGACACTTTTAAATGGCACACAGTTGTCCTGATGTAGGAGTAGCTACTTGTTGTCACTTGATGCTCCGCTGGCTGGGCTCATTGGGACACGGTCCATGGCTGCATGCCTGGATTAGCCCCTATAATCTGTCACAGTTGAAAGCCTTCAATTTCAGAATGAAAAAGGGGACCAGTACTTTTGGAACAGGAGAGAGAGTGAAATCACCTTCCAAAGCAGGATGACCCAAGCCTGATTTGAAATCTATTTCAAAAAGACTATTACCAGCCGACTCTAAAACTGTTTCATCCTCTTATCTAAATACTTAGCCAAAGTCTAACAGCTTTTATGTTGGAACATCTTTATTCCCACCATAACATTTTGTATCGGGCCACTTCAACTCAGCTTTACACAACACGTCTATATGTGTCCGCATTACCCGTAATCCATATCACATTTAACACCTCATCCTCAGTTAGCTAATGGGGCCTCCTAATGAGTTGAACAATTGAGTTCTACTCCAATTAAACAGAGAACAATTTCAAGGGGCAAGGGACGACTATTATCAGTATGCCGCTGCATGCATCAGCACTGAATGGCCCCCAGATTGGGACCATAATGGCACCTGATGGAGAAAAGGTTGATAATTACGCTGTTGACAGAGATAAGTATATACACAATAATTAATGATGGCTAGGAAATGGACTGGAGTGTGTCAGAGTAATAAGAAACATTGATATAATGCACTTGGACATTGTATTGATTGGTGCATTTTAAAATGTAGATTAAGGAAGATGATTGAACTCGTAAATAGAGACAATTTACATAATTTCGTAACATTATGTAAGTTGTGCTTTACATCTAAACCGGAAAAGAAAGATAAACAGATGGACTTAAGGCCCCATTTATCCTCATCCATTAATAAAACACCCTCTTTTATTTGGAGGTCAGCTATAGAACGTCTCCCTGAGCTGACCAAAATGTCCTTATAACACATTGTTTTGAACCTGACATAAAGGCTAATGACAACGTTTTCTCCTTTTACATTTGCAACCAAACTACACATGGAATTTCCATTTTTCTAAAACACACAATGATAGAGATAACCTAAGATTATTCTCAGTTTTCTGTCAAATGAGTCTGTCAGTTTGTCTGGACGGAAATATCTCAAAAGCTGTTGGAAGGCCTGCCATTTAATTTTGTTCTGACATTCATGAGTCTCTCTGGACAAGCTTTTCGTATCGTGCCATCATTAATATTTAAATTTTAATTGAAAAAATACCTGCCAAACAAATGACAACTAAATGTAATGTAATGACATCAGCCTCAGTTGTATTTTGTGTTAAGTGCTAATTAACCAATGTGAGCATGCTAACAGGCTAACGTGGGGAATATCGAAAATAAAGGAATTGATGATAGTTATGTTAAATAATATAAATGTCTAGCAGCCAAACACCTGCTAAACATATGCATGTTCACAATATAACAAAAAAAGGATGACCTTATAGAGCATCAAGCATGACTATATGGACATACCCCAACCGGACTTCTTTGGCCTTAAACTATATGCAAAAACCTTTTTACATTTTGGATTTTCTGGCAGTTTTGAAAAGTATCTTCAAACTTGCACCAGTCAGAACATTTGGTTTAGTCTCACATTTCAGGAGAATTGGACTCACACCTTGAGATACAAACATTTATTTTTGCAATAGGAGGAGCTCTCACCTCCACAGACCCTCAAACCCAATTCAGTTATTGAGGCCAAGACATATACAGAGTGAGGATTATTCATCTAAAGTGGAAAGCTATTTAATCCCCCGAGAGTGGAAAAGAAGGGTATGATGGATCAGATTTGCTGAAGATCAAGCTGCTTGCATTCGATATGAGAAGGTAATTCACAGTATCCCTTGTGATGGACAGGCTGCTTGTTGAAAACCATATCATCTCAATCCATGCAAAGTGAGATCAGAGAGAGGTTTATGAAAAGATTTTCACTAATGCAACATTAACATTCAATTTCTTTCTGATGGGGTTGTGAGCAATATTATTCCATTGGTTTTAGAAAGATTAAGTGCATGCCGATCACTTTTGGGAAGACTCTTGACTCCAGATGCTGCTGAATTCAATCAACACAAGTTGAACTGAAGAGGATGGAAATGTGGTGCTGTTCTGCCCTCTGCTGCATCGAATTATAAGTACAACTAAAATCCAAGAATATTTCTCAGTCATGTAGAGCTGGCTGTTGATGGAGCTCAATATTTTAAAGACAATTTAAAAAAGAAAATGCAGTTAATTTGTTATCAACTTCTTTCTATTAGTGTGACCACATGGCTGGGTTGGGGGACATTAAAATGTATATCAAAACAATCTATTTTCAAGGTCCATTAATAGCTGTTCTGGAATTGTTTTTAATCAAAACACAGGATATTCACAGATTCTATAAAGGTTTCTAATTTCTCTAATTCCCCTCCTCGACTCCCCTCCTCGACTACCCTCCTCGTGTCTTAGTCCCGCCCACAGGAGATGCGAGCGGAGGATTCGAGGAGGGGAACCGAGGAGCGAGGAGGGGAAGCAGCAGGCGTTTAGAGAAATGAGAAATCCTCTCCTCTGAGCGGTCATTTTAAAGAGACATCCATTAATGATGACAGGAGGCACAGCAGCACTCTGTCTGATGGACAGATGTGTTCATGACGACTTATATTATTTACTTTTAATTACTTGTTGACAGTGCGGTATATTGAGACAATAACAGGCTACAGATGCGGACATATATGCACACACACACATATATATATTTATATATATATTTATATAAATATATACAATTTCAGATTCAAACAAGTATGAGAGCACTCTCATAATAACGTAACACTATCAGAGACTGGATATATCTCCAAAAATATCGACTCTTTGTTTGTAGATATCTACTAAACTAAAGCATAAGGAGAGTAATGTAGGCCTGTTATGCTGAGTGAGAGATATATATTATACACATTGCTCTGCTTTCTGCACGGACCTCACAGCCAGGGCCGGTTCTAGACAATTTGATGCCCTAGGCGAGATTTTAGCTGGCGCCCCCCCAGCCAGATAATCCTACAGTAGAAAAGATAAAGATCAATAGAGTGTCCAAGGAATACACAATAGAATATATAAAGAATAAATGAAACATTTCTACAAAAGACACATACACTACAAAAACAGAAACTTATTGACTTATTGGCTTCAAATGTACTCAGTATTGTATGAACATGTTTGATTTGGGGGGTAGACATCACATCCTCTAGTCTATGGGGGTCCGGGGACATGCCCCCCCGGGAAGAATTTTTTGAACATTTTAAAGTAAAATGCTTCAATCTGGTGCACTTTGAGCACACAATTACTAGAGACTATCTAGCCGCGGGTACAACTCTAAAACACCCATATGGAAAAGATCTGTTTACATTTTAATAATCAAATAAGTATGTGAACATAACCAATAACCTACCATAGCCAATAACAAATAAATGTAACTCATTTCATTTTTGTTGTTCATTCATATCTTATTTTACCTAGTTAACATTTATTTATGCATATTTTTTTATCTCTCCAGTTTTAAACAATATTTTTGGTTTACTGTTTTATCCCAATAATTATAAAGGAGTGAAATTGGAAATATGTTTTTACATAAATTGTGATCAAAACGTTTGAGACCCACTGAGATAACTTAGACTAAAGTTAAATATCTTAACACTCAGAGTCCTTTGCCTCACTGAGCTGTAGTTATCAGCCTCTCAGTCTGTCAGGAGAGCTCTCCTCCACCCTTGTTGTAGAAACATCTTCTTCTTATATCCGTTAGAGCAGCTAGCACCAGATGCTAATAACAACAGTGCCGGTACCGCCGGTGCACGGTGCACCCTCTCTCTCCCTCTCTCCCTCTCTCCCTCTCTCCCTCTCTCCCTCTCTCCCTCCCACGCTCACTCGCACTTTGGCTGTGACCTGCGGGCGCCTGATAAGCCAACATCCCCCACTTTCATCACTTACAGCGCCCATCGCGCCCACCAGGGTGAAAAGGGTGTTACATTTACTTAATTATTAATGTTTTTTAATTTAATTAGGATGATTAATTTAATTAGAATGAGCACCAACGGTCAAAAACTTTTTTTCCCTCCCAGAGCTACCAGCGCAGCGCCCCCCCAGATCTGGCGCCCTAGGCGACCGCCTATGTCGTCTATGCCAAAAACCGGCTCTGCTCACAGCTGTTCTCGCTGTAAACATCGCGTCCGATTCAAGCAGTTAATAAAATAATATCCAGGGGATGCATGCAGAGCTGTCATTGGCTGAGATAAGTCCGACCGTGCGCCACGACTCTTTTAAATATCGCAAGCCGGAAATACATCCGCGGAGGATCCGCGGAGGAACCATCAGTGTATCCTCGGTTATAGCTCCTCCAGAGAGCCTCCCCGATGCTCGATCCTTGGTCCTCGATGTGCATTTAGAGAAATTAGATGTCCTTCAACATGACGCGCTGAAATCCATTTCCGGGTCACTACCGGAGGACCGAGGAGTCGAGGAGCCGAGGAGGGGAAATTAGAGTATTGAGAAGCCTTCACTATAGAGAGGCGAAGTCACGCCCATCTA